ATTTAATTTTTTACGATTTCAGAGAAAAGTATTGTAGTAGAACATTTTGAAAACATTGCTATGATTGGTATAAACCGGCCTGAAACAAAAAATGCTTTAAATGCAGCAACTGCGGAACAATTGGCAGAGGAATTAGATAAATTTGAGAATGATGAAAATTGTATGATCGGTGTGCTTCATGGTATGGGGGGTAATTTCTGTAGCGGATACGATCTTAAAGAGATAGCACAGTATAATGGAAAAAATGATGAAGTCTTGCCTCAATTAGGGCCACTGGTAAGCAAGCCCAGATCTGCGTTTAATAAAAAAATTATTTAATTATCATGACAGTAGTCGATACGATATGAATTGTTTCCAGGCTAATAAAATCGAGTTAAGCAAAAAGCCACTGATAGCAGCTATAAATGGATACGCCCTGGGAGTAGGATTTGAACTGGCTTTAATGTGTGATTTAAGAGTAATGGAAGAATCTGCAGTATTAGGATTTACAAACAGGAGATTCGGAATTCCTATATTATTCGGTGGCACTGTCCGACTGCCAGCATTAATCGGGTACTCGAGAGCAATGGATCTGATTTTAACTGGACGGCAAATAGGCGCGAAAGAGGCACTTTCGTGGGGCCTAATTAATCGTTATACAGACACTGGAACAGGTATGTTTCAATTTATAATTAAGTAAGACATAATAAAGTTGTCAATACACGAGACGGGATTGCCTCTTTTGTCAGTGATAGGAGACGCTGTACATTTTGCGAGATCATTCATCAAGTTCCCCCAAAAGACATTACTTGCGGATCGTGCATCGACACACTTCGCGACATTCACTGCTAAGCAGTTAGAAGAAGCTTTACAATTTGAGAAAGACAATGCATCTCATTTACTGTTTGAAGAGGGAGTGAGGGGGGCAAAAAGGTTCGCGACAGAGGGAGTAGGGAAGCATGGGAAATTTTATAACATTACTAAGATAAATACCGAATTCAAAGAGATAGATAAAGATCTCGTATGAAAATCCTATAGGAACACTTTAAGACTGTATATAAAGAAAGTTACAACTTCGCTAGTCTCGTAACGTATGTTTGTATTTTTAAAATAATAAATCTAAGTTTTCTTAAGTAATCGAACGTGTTTGATTTAATCATGCCATCCTGTTCGTATTATTACCTTTCCTGAAGGAAGATTTGTTTGATGCATTTCTTTTAAAAATAGGATTCACCTTAAATAGCGTATCGGTGCATTTCTTCGCTGCCTTTCCGCTGAGCAACGGTGTGATGTTCACCAGCTGGCCGTTCATGTCTCCTGCATAAACCTCGTTACTTATTTTAATTAATCGCATGTTTAGTGTTTCAAACTCACTTTCAAACGTGACTATCACGTACGTTGCATCCGGTTGGAAAACATCGAAACCGGACGTGTGTGGCTCGAAATAGGAAAGTCTTCTAAATATACAGCTTATTTCGTCGCATAAATCAAATTCAACTGTAAACGTTACTTTCTATAATATTTATCGGACAACATAAAGACAGCTATCAAATTCCAAATGAATACTGCCTACTTGTATTATCTAATCCGACTACATCTCGAATGTAATTTAATATCAACATAAGTGGGCAATTAATATTTACTAGAATTTCTTTTTCCTCCTCCTCGGCGTGCGCGCCTCTTTCATTATCGTTAACGAACACTACGAAATAAGTACAGTACTGATATACGATAAAGTGTATAATGAAATTATTCTTACCGGCATACTTAATTCGAATGATCCATGACATAGGATGATCATCCATATTAGACTTAATTTATTACAGGCATTTAATTTATTATACGTCAGGGTTATAACAAATGAAAATCGTTTGATGTTAAATGCAGTTTATTTACATGTAAAATCGAATGTTCTAATTGTCATTTATTTTATAAAATTCGTCTAAGGGTCGAAGAAGCTCGCTGGAGAACGAGGCGCGTCGCCGGACGGGCGACGTTGCGGTTCTCCGCGAAGTCCGATTGAACTTTTGAATGATCGTGGAATTTCATATTCAAGTCGAACAACAGCGGCCGTCCACGAGGCTTAATTGGCGAAAGTAATGCGAGCCGAGCAACCACCATCGAGCCGGTTAAAACTGTGTGACGAAACGAGTGCAGGTGGCGGCGCATTGTTGCGCAATCGTTCGGGTATCCCTCCTCTTCCTCCGTGCAACCAGGAGTCAGGACGAGAGTCCCTTGGTAACCAGAAGGTGCCTCCCCCACCAGCTGCCTTCCTCCCTGCCCGACCTGGCGAATATCACCTCCGATGCTCTTCTTTATTCCGCTTCTTCCTTCAGCCTCACCTTTCCCAAGGACTCGACTCTATTTTTTTCCTTTACTGACCTCTTGAACTGGTTGCGCTTACGTTCTCACTCGGTGGGCGTTTGTCCGCGTCGTTCAAGCAATCCTGTAATCAGCGAGAAACGTCACGAAAGGAAAGTACAATTACACTGGAATTGGTGTATTGGATAACTTAATAAGAACGTACATAAAATAAGTTTCTGCAATGTATATATAATATGAGTAAAGTGAAACGAGACAGGAGAACATAAAAGGATAGAAGGGTGGTTTGCAAAATTCTCTTCCTGATCAGCCTGCCTGCGTGGCATTTCGAAAGAATGTTGCTCGGGCCTTTCACGGATCGATTCTACACAATGTTTCTGATGTATATTCTACGAGGAACAAAAGTTCTCCGACGGGAGAGGCGAATCGATGGCTTCGTGTTCTATGCGAGAAAGCAACCCGTGAAAGTCGAACGTCTGAGTTCAACTTTAAACGTTCCTAACGACGCCTCGTCCTTGGGAATCGGTGTGTCAGGTTGGTTAATAAGTTCGTTCGGTTTAAGTAGATTAATTCGAGCGATGTCAAGGATGGAAAACCATCCTAACCGATGCGACAGATTGCTACAGCGCTCAATATATTCCATACGACTGTAGGAAATTCATTTATCCTGTATGTCGAACAGATTGTGTTTCGTTCTGCCGTTAAAAATCGAACGAATTCATTTCCCAACTCGATAATATCAAACACGATTTTTCTACATATTTCAGGAATGAAATCTATTGCAATCGACGCAAAAGATTGCTACAGCATTCGATATATTCTACAGCAATACAGAGAATTAATGTATCCTGTGTATCAAAGAAATTGTGTTCTGTTTTAAAACCGAGCGAACTTATTTGTCAAACCAATAATATGAAACAACTTTGCATATTTAAAGAATGAAATTTTTATTAAACAGAGGAATCTTATGAAAGGACCACTGGACTTTCATAGCTCGTCCATGGTGCTGTCCACGATTTTCATGGGAAATATGTAAAAACGTAGTTACTCGAGGCGATCCTTTGTGCGTCGTTGCTTGGCGTGGCGTCGATCGCATCTGAATGCCAGTTAACCATTACGTTTTACGAGGTGGATGGACATGTAACGACGCCCCGTGCTCCGTCCGGCAACAGGTTACATCGTTCCGTTTCACCCGGGCCAGGGAAAGGAATATAGATTTTTCTTTCCCCGTTGGCGTATCCGCGAAATTTACCGCGGCTATTCCCAGCGTCTGGACGCATCCTGGTGGATCGACACTCTATGACACTCGGCTAGCGAATTTACGCCGCGTTATCAGACGATAACCGAGCGAGGATGCTGCTAGGCATCGCTATTCCTGTTACAGGGAACTTTCCTGGAACGACTCTGGCAAAATTTAAACACGCTTAACGCCCCGCGCGTTAAATTGCTTTTAAATCTGCATAGATAAGGACATGCACGCTTCGGTTCTCGCTGGCCCATTGAACGAGGAAGCGGAGAACTGTTAAAGGATCGAACGCGGTTGGGAGTTCATATAAAACTTCGTCTTGACACACACGATATTTAATCTACTGGCTGCGGTCGGCACACCTGTCGAACTTTCGAACGCGCCGAACATTTTTCACGCTTAATTTCGTGCGTGCAGTTTCTAGTGTTTCAAACCACTGAATCGTTGCGTAACGAGTTAGATCAACGCGTCGTCGTCGATCTTTTTCTTACAACGAGAACGATCCCTTTCGTTTAATTGATTCTGTTGTTAAATCATTGACAGTGTTGATAATTTGCGCAAGACGAAACTCGATTTTCCAATCGGCCGGCTCGATTACGTCGCGGAATGTTCCGCCGATAATCACCGAATTCAATTATTCTCGATTTCAACAGAACTCCCCGGTGTACGTTATTACACGATAATGCCACTTTCAGAACGTGTTCGATCGTTTCACACCGGTTCTTCTTCTCGCGTTATGATGATCGAACACGTAATTCCATTCGTTCGACCGGCCGGCAGGATTAACACCGCGAGATAAAATAATCTCACGGAATTACGCAACGCGCGTTTTGGACTCGCGGAAGAAGAGAGTCGCAGATGTTTTCACCTGGCGATCACCGGCCAGATAAATTACTTTGCATATGCCATGAGTTTTCCTCGATAAATAAAGTGTCGGTGACGTAACTGGTCTGAGGCGGTTGATAGGAAATAACTTAACTCAATCTCGCTCTCAATTATTTATTTCACACGGACGATGGTACAGGACAGATTCCGATCCGGCGGCTCAGGACTAACTGACTGACCCTTCGGATATTCCGCACTTACATACTACGTGAAAAGAAAGATAGTAGTAATGGAAGAAACGAAGAAGGAAAATGGAAAAAACCGAAGAGAAAGTTAAAAGAGAAGAACAGTCCTTGAGGTCGCCCAGGTCTGGTCACCAAATGTGCTTGATGATAACCAGGCCCGGACGAACCCTTGAGAGCGGAGAAATCTGAAGAAAAGGCAGGAAATCGTAAATACTGAAGAAAGCTAGAAAAGAGAAAACTACAGAAAATAAAAATAAATATAATGAATTACGAATTCGTTGACGCAAGGGCGAATTGGCTGTTAATATACACGCCACAGGTCGATCTGATGCGAGACGGTCGCGTTTCGATCGCCGTTCATTCTCTTTAATTCTGACGAGAAAGAGAGAGTGAGAATTCATAAATGGATTGTAAATAATTTACGAGGAGTTAGTTGACTGTCACCAGATTCGATTTCATACAAATCGGTTATGTCGTTCTGCGGAAAATCTGCTCGTCTCCGCGCGGGCCACTCCCTGTTTGTATTACACGCGTCTACGAGCGGCGTGCAGACGCAGTTTGCATACGGCCGTAGGAACGGATAAAGGACGGCTCAGGTATCTTGGGATGCGGCCGAGGAATCGAGTTCAAGGACCTCGCTTTTCCGGAATACGTACGCAGTACGCGAGCCAGGCGTGTACGCCGTTTATGCAGCTGGATGCGGTGTTAGTATGCAGGAAATGTATTGCAGAGAGAATGTTCCTTATGCTTATGAATTTTCCCTTTCGTTTACATTCTCACTGATCAGCGATTCAAGGGCCAGGGTAGTCACGTGGCTCTTCTAATATTTATGAATAATTATAAATTTTTCACGTTTCTTCCTGTTTCGTCGATAATTAAACAAAAGTATTTATAAAAGTAAATAACAATAAATATTATTATCGATAATCAAGACGGATTCAATTGGATGTTTCAAATTTTTATTAGAGAAGATCAGAGAAACAATTAAAATGCGTGAAACTTATTTTTTCCTCGCGATTCCAAAATTTTTTAACAAAGTTTACTAAGTCTTCCGTTATTAGAAAAGTTATTCCATTTTGGAATGCGTTAACTTAATATCGTCTATTTTAGTACATCTTTATTTCTAAGATAATCAAGATAAAATTTAATATCTAATTTAAAATGTATAGCAGAGCACTTTGACGCTTATTGTACTCAGAACAATCTCTCTTTAGTATAAAGTTGGCTAAGATCCACAGTAACTACGACAGTTGCTTCGCTTTGTAACACTTATTCTATTAAATATAAGCATAATCTCCAGAGCGCCTTAGAATCAACTTAAAACTTCAACATTAGCCTAATGACGTCATATTTAAATGTCTACATAGCTGAGTGAGAAATCAGTTTTAAATCCCCTGCCAGTATTACTGGGAACACAATACCTAAGAGAAATCATATAAAATCTCTCAGTTCGTCTTTTAAATAAATT